CTGAGACCTTCTGAATCCAAAGCATGTGCTCTACCCCTAGATATATGCTTAGGTTCTTTCTTTCACTCCTGTCTCTTTTGGGTCTCTCACTTCCTTCTTGTTTTCTCCTTCATCTTTAATTATTCTCTTCCAACCACATAGAGGTAACAACTCTAATCTTTTCTTCTCTGCTTTGAAAAAAAAAACGCCCATCCTGAAAATATCCCAGACTTCTTTCAGATGTTACCTCATTCCTTTACTTCCTTCAGCTTTTGCTTTCATTTCTATCAACTTTTTTCTTGACCCTCTTTAGCCTACTTTCCTTTTCTTCTTTAATTTCTGCTCAGTAGGGTGGCTGTTACTGTGATCTAGCCTAGACCTCCACTTTGCAAAATCCAAGAACTGCTACACATTCTCCATTTCTCTGACATATGTTTAGAGATTGATTTAAGACACACATGTCAATTTACTGACAATGAGGACATCAAAACATGGGTTAGTTAAAAACAGCATGTTTCTTTAAAATATGGATTTGGAGTAAGGATAAAAGCAGAATAGTAATAGAAAATTGATTTAAGACACACAGTTATAGAGTTCAATAGATTTTAAGACAAATAATACAAGTCTCACCTGAAAGAACTGACAGAATCAGATAAGAACCAATCTTTCCAAATGCAGCTAGTGTTTACAAGAACCTAAGACTTTTGATTACACTAATTGATCATATGATATTGTAATAATTATGCTATAATTCTTAAACTGCTTGGTTATCCAAGAGATGCTGTTGTTTATGACATTCTGATAAGATCTCATATGTTTTACTTTGAAAAGACAGTAATTTTTGGAGATGGTAGCCATGCTAGAATTGAGTAAAGATTGAATTCTTTGAGCTATTGTCCGTCATGGTTGTCAGCAATTATCTGGGCCTCTACCCTAGCTATGTGTCTTACTAATTTTATTTAAAACAGAGAAAATGAGGTAATATAGGAGAAAAAAATAGAATCACAGATCCAACATATCCTACTTTTGAAATCAAAGATTTGTAACCCATTTGAATCTAAAAACTTCACTTAAATGCATTTGCAATCACCCTCCCTATTTGTGGGCTTAACTTTTTTGGATTTGATTACTACATTCTCTCTAGGCATCTCTAGGTCCTTCAGAGTGACTCTACGATCAACTTCCACTGGATGTGGATCACAGGCTAGTAGTGTTGAAGGACCTGGGGATTCCCAGCAAGAACCTATATCTAGGCATCTCTGGGGGCCCTTCCACACAGCCTTACATCCCATAATATCAAGGCAGAAAATCCCACAATATCTGCTTTGAACTGGGTTATCTGAGTCCACACTCAGATAATGTGGGATTTGCTGCCTTGATATTCTGGGATATAGGGTTGTGTGGAAGGGCCCTAGGTCCTCCAGGGTAGTTCTATGGTCAGCTTCTTAGAGCCGGAAGAACCAGGATGGCAAGAGGGATTGATCCCTGGGTACCCAGAATGTGGTCCCAGGAGTTAATTCCCACAGGCCCAGTACCTCAACAGATCTGGAACTTTCAGTAAGATCCAGATCTGTTGAGGTATTTTATTAATCCAGAGTAAACTGGGAAATCCCAGTTTATTTCAGATTAATCCGGGTTAACCTGAGGCCTTGTTTGGATACCTCAGGTTAACCCGTGGTGGGTTGTGGGTTTTAGGCTTGTGTAGAAGGGCCCTGAAACCACCTGACTGTATTGAGGTCCTTATCCATTGTGAACAAGGCCTGCGGTTTTCAAGTTGTATAAAAGATTGAAGTTATCTACACTACACATTTATCGGAACTGGATAAATCCCAGGCCAGCAATTTTTTTTGTAAGGGCATAGCCTACAATGCTATGTTGTTGGTTTGTTATCACCATAATTGTTGTCTTGTGATGCACAGGGCTTCTCTTTCTTACTAGATTAATGCTGTGGAAAGTTATTTGCTTTGTTGATAAGAATCTAGTTGTTGGAGCCCAGCCGCCTGTTTGATCTCTTTTCACCCAGACACCACACAGTTCAACAATAATAATGAGTTTATTAAGAAAGAGCATATAAAAAGTAACAGCTTCAAAATAGTGCAAGTACTTCTCTAAAATTCATTTAAAATGAGCAAACTAAGCATGCAAGAAAGTAAAATCAAAGGCCAGATTTTATAACAATGTCCAAGTACATCCATGAGCCATATATCAAGAGTTTGACAAAAGTCACATAGCAACTCTGAACATGAATCCCAAAATTACAGAAGGTAAAACAGGAAACTGTAATCCCAAGGTGGTGGCACTCAAAACATGACTATAATTCCAAAGGCTTGAAAACTCAAACTTGACTATAATTCCAAAGGCATGAAAACTTGAAACAAGATTTGTAATCCAAACAGGAAAATAAGATCCAAATACTAAGGACCAGAATTCCTGACTCAGAGCTTCATAGACAGGTGACTTGATACATGAAATTCCAATGTTGACCTCCACACCAAACAAAGCCTGAGATTCCTTAAGAAGTCTCCCTCTTACCTAAACATCATTTATTCCCACACCTGGTCTCCCTTTGTTTATATTTCAGTCTCTGAGAACAATGAATCTGTCTTTGTTTCACACCCTCCAGTCTAAGCCATAAATGCTGGGTTATTGGTAACTCTCCGGTTTACTCCACAATTCTTTCACAGTCAATCCCTGGAAGATTGTCATGAGAAACATAGTCTGTTTTCCTGACAATTAATCAAAACATCTCAAAAAACACTTTCACTTTTCCCCACAGAAGTATCCGGCTCATACAAAACATCCTCTACCTCATCCTCAGAGGCTGAGGACTTATAGGCCTCAACCCTAACATGCATATTTGAAGCTCCTTGAAGAAAGTACAGGGTTTGTTTTTTTTTTTTAAAAAAAATTTAAAATAGAACACTAAGCATCTTTGCATATGTAGGAAGCTGCCATATAGACGATAGAATAAATTTGCTTTCTTATACTTCAGTTGGCCAGGACCTGAATCATTACCATTATTACTATTGTTTATTTATATAGAGCTGCCAACGTACATAGCACTTTACAAGTAACACAACAAAAAATAGGGTCCTGCTAAAGGGGAACATGCACGCACAGAGGGAAGAAAGAATTATAAAATATAAAATTATGCAATACACCTCCAAATAAATTACAAAAATACAATATAGTATAACGCAAACTGACAAATATACATAAAATATACAAGATTATAAAACAATATTAAACTAAAATATCAAATCCTTAGGAAAACAGATACATTTTTAATTAGAACTTCAAAATATTTTGGGAAGCTGCAATTCCCAAATGTTCATGGAGACAATTTCAAGAGTGTGGAGCAGCAAGTAAAAAAAGGAAAAAAAACCAAACCAATGGATTTAGATTTCAACTAAACATTAGCAAAATAATCCTGCTTGCTCATGTAACTACATTGGTGGAGGTGGAAAAGGTGACAGAGGAGAAAAGACTGTGGATGTTGTGATGGTGGCAAGTGAGAGGACATCTGACACAGCCATTTCATCATACGATAAAATTGTCCTGATAGTATCTGAACAACTCAGCAGTTTGAAGAGCAGCTTTGTACACTGATAGATATGGTGTTTCCTGCCATCCCCTACCATTACTATACCTTGACTGAAGAACAATTTATGCAAATAGGAGTGGGATATGTGCCACTGTAAGTAATCAATGAGATTTTAGGCAGCAAGAGCTATTTGACAATGGAACAGAAGACAGCCAACTGTCTCAGAAGACGGTGTGCTCTTTTTTGCTGAAGGCTGGCTGGCCATCTAACAGAGATCTTTAGCAGGGATTAAACCAAGTCCCTTCTACACTGCCCTATATCCCATGATCTGACCCCAGATTATCTGATTATCCCAGATTATATGACAGTGGAAACTCATATAATCCAATTCAAAGCAGAGAACCTGGGATCAGATCTTGGAATATAAGGGCAGTATAGAAGGGATCCTTGGTGGCCCTTGGGGTTCCTTACACCTGTGATTCTAAGAAATGTAATAAATAAGCACATAAATTCCAAACCACTGAAATATTTAAAATTAGCCTATATAGTTGTGTTATATGAAGATAGGTATTTTTCTACTTTTACTCAAAAACCCTTAGCAACTAATATGTTTTCAATCCACCTTTTCCATCATGCTCCCACATTCCATTTGTGGCTTAGAGGCATCTTGGTTTCATTCAGGATCAGCAGTTTTCTTTCTTTTCTCTGCCTCGGCTCACCCCACTCTCATGGTTTCCAGCTGATAGGTCTAAGCAGATACTAAAGTGCTAATTATTGATTCCCAAGTGTATGACCTTATAGTCAGCGCTATTGAATCGAATCTCATTTTTATAACTCGCATGGTTCCTGCTGCAATTTTTTGATCCTTATCTATTCTGACAATACCATCCAATCTGGAGTCATCAGCAAATTTAATCAGCACAATATTTCACCACCCAACTACACTTGCTAACAAATGCAAGCTAAAATGGTTCTCAAGATGACCTCTAAAGATCTAAAGATTAGTTTTCTAATCTAGCAATTTCTCAGTGCTTTTACTTTTGCTTATGTAAATTTGCACCTTAGCTTGCCATCAGATATCAACTTTCTAGGGAATAAGCCCCAATCAAACTTAATGGCACATACTTTTGAACAAACGTGTTTAAGATTTTATAGCATTTGGCTTCTGAATAACCCTTTGCCCATTATTTAATATGGGTATAATGCTTTATTTGGGCTTATATTACTGTCTATAATCACCTCTCCTTTTATTTTAGTAAAATACCATACTTTATTGCCCTTGCTTTGGATTTATATATTAACTGAACATATTGTCTGCTTTTCATTGTGAAAATAAGCTCAAATATGTCATGAACTCATGTTCAAGCCTATGAACTCATGTTCAAGCCTATGATTTTCCATTCTTCAGAAAGAGTTCTGCTGCATATATGCTCCAGCATGTTCTTTGTCACCATCTAAAAATACTAGAAGGACTGACCTGGACTCTTATCCTTTAAACATAATCTGGATCCCATATTCATCAGGACGTGTTAGGCCAAGATCTTGGTTCAGGAAGCATATGACATGTGTGCAACTAGGCTAGTCTCTCATCCAGATCCCACAAAAGCCATCTTTTCTTTGCTGTAATCCATCTCGATGTACCTGTCCAGTAGAAAGCAGAGAGAATGGCAGAGAAGCATGCAGCACACAGCAATAATATCAACCTTATGGACTTCCAAGGGACTATGGGAAGACTCTAAGGATATTGTCAGCCTGGTAGTGACCATGTGTGTGTGTATTTTGAGGAGGAGTTCCATAGAGAAAAAATGGATGAGATAAGTTTGTTGAATTGTCAGTACATAGTTCTGACATGGGCAATAACTTTCCCCTACCAAGGAAGGAAGGAAGGAAGGAAGGAAGGAAGGAAGGAAGGAAGGAAGGAAGGAAGGAAGGAAGGAAGGAAGGAAGGAAGGAAGGAAGAGTTATAATGCCACAGTTTGACCTATGTTGTAATTCACTAACAGTCTTAGCTTCAGTTCAAGAAACCTGGTGCTATTCAGATGTTTTGATCAACAGCTCTCACAATCTCTGGCTATTTTCTTCAGGCTTATGGAAATTAGTGTACACAGGATAGGTAGAAAGGTCCTGGTTGTCTACTCCTGGTTTAGATTATGCAAAGAAAGGAGAAGATGAGCCATTTTTGTCTTTATTGCCTCTCCTCTTCCTATCAGTGTGACCATCTTCTTGACATCACTTGGCTTTATGCAGAAATGGTTTGCGTAACAGTCGCTTGTGGAGGAAATTAGTCCTTTATCTATGTGACTACTTGCTACAACTTGAAATTAACAAGGAAGCATCAATGGGTTGTGTTCACAAGAGATTGTTTGGGGAGAGGAAAAATCCCCACAACTCTCAATAGCCAAAGCAGACTCATAACCATAAATGTAAATGTGATCAATATAAAACAGTGGCAATCCCTTCATGAATATCCTGATTACTAAAACATGCCTCAGTTTTAAACTGTGATTAATTTGTCAAGAAATGCTCATGGGTGTTTTTGCATTGACAAGTCAGAAGCTCTCTTGGTGCCATGGTAACAATCTTTCCTCTTGATTTCATATAAGAGTTAGCATCTTGCTAATCCCTCCCCTGAATAATTTTCTCTTTTTTATCATTACTTATTTTATAAGGCTGATTCCATTTCTTGCTTTTGACATCTCTGTTTTCTGTATATTTTACCAAGATCAACATGGCTAGAAACTATTGGTTTTGAGGAGGGGGATAGAGATATGGCAATTATGTCTGGAAATTTACAATATTATTGTATAGAATGATGTAAGGCAAAATAATTTAAAGAGACCCAACCCTCAAACCTACTCTAAAAACACTGCAGAACATTTCACAGAAAGTGCTTCTTTGATATGAAAACTGGCATTTTATGGAGGACAGAGAAAAGATTGCAAGCAGTGCTAGTACACAAAACAAATTCGAAAGGTAGTCAAAATTTCAAAGAAGGGGAAGTTGTATAAATTATCTGCACATATGCCTATGAGAGCTGGTGCCAGATATTGTTTTGGTACTTGTTGCCTTTAACTCAACACTATTTTAGGTGTGAACCCTCAGCACACAACAACAACTGTGGTCCACCAATGTGACTTGAGAAATGATATACTTCTGAAAAGTGCCTTTCTCATGAGTGTCCCTCCATTCATTAGGAAAGGTGATCATAAGCCTTGGGATTGGACTGGTTAAATATGCTCATTTACCATGTTATCACACCAGGGCTTTAAAGGGGGTAGCCCACATTTCTGCTGAGAAATGCAGTTTAGGGTGGGGCCTTTTGAATTCTCAGCTACAGAGGTCCTCACGTTCTCAAGCTATATTTCTCAGAATTCTGCAGGCAGCAGAAATGTGGGGCTGCCTGCTTTAAAACCTTGGTGTGATAACTCTTGTGGACTACTCTTCCACTTCTGAGGAGGGGGTTTAACAGAAGGCTGAAAAGGTAGCACTTGGGGATTTGGGGCTAAGTGTTGAGGAGGAAGGAGAAGGCAAGGAAGACATACTACAAGTCTCTACATTTCAAGAACGGTGAAGGTCAAAAGAAGAAAGACAAAGGTCAGCTAGAATTGCAGCAAAACCTCTAGGAGCATTTGTGCTGGGAGCTCAGGGCTATAAATTAGCAATGAAGCCAATAGTCAGTACTGGCAGCAACCAACCTACTTGGTGCATTTGTATTCCGGTCTCTGTGCTAAAGTTCTGGCATTGGCTTTGTAAAAGACTTCTTGTCAGAGATTCTTGTTCTTGCTCCTGTTTGCTGTGAAGACTTGGTTACAAATACTTGTTTGATGTGGTTTCTCAATGTCTTGAAGTGTTTTGGATCCTTCTTATCTTGCTCCCTCATCCTGGATAATATTTTTGATGTTTGGATTCAGAAGCTCCAGGTCATTATCTGATGCCTCCTGTGGAGAGAGTAGCATAGTACTCCAGGACCACAATGGGAAATGGAACCACATCCTTCCCATTTCTCAGATACAATTCTAGAACAGGCCAGAAATTATACCAGCAATAGTGTCCTGCTTAAAGCCAATGAGCATATTTAACCAGTCCAATCCCAAGGCTTATATGAGTTGACAAATGGGAGTGTGGTCCATTCAATCCAAAGTGAGAAAACAGTCCTGATTACTATAAAGAGCTGAGGGGAAATTACCAGAAAAACAGTCCAAAACAGATACTGAAGGTCAGAAAGTCGGAGGTTTCAGATAGGATTGTTTGGAGGGTTATGACCTAGTGCTCTGCATCAGCAGAGTGCCCTGGGCTGAACAAATTGATAGCCAGCAGTTAAATCAGTTCAGCTGGCCTCATTAGTTCAGTGCCCTGTATTCAAAGTGGAGCACGGTGGTGCCTGAGCTTTTTCTCTCTGCACATTAACTGTGCTAAAAGCATCCTAGAATTGAGCAATGAGAACATAGGTGGCTTCCTGTGTTCTTGTTGCCAGCAACAAGGGAAGTGTGAGAGAAAGCCGGACAGTGACGCTTTTCCTCATGTGATGGGGAAGACAGTGCTGTGGGTGATACAGGACACAGGACAACAAATTCCTCTATTGCCCCATGGATTTGCTGTGATGCCTGGTGGACCCCCCCCCCCCCGCTGTTGCCCATGTTAGGGAAAGTAATGTGATAAAGTCCTTAGAAGCAGAGTCCCCCACGCCCACCACACACAACATCCATACATATATTTCTGCCAACATCTGTAGGTAACGGTTATCACATGTAAAATGGTTTAGTTGTTCATTCCAACTGTAATATCCTGAAGAGGTTAAGGGAGAGAACTTGAATCTGAAGAGCATTACAAACTACATAGAAAATCAGTATTATGTAGTGGCTGGACTGGGGCTTAGAAGATCTAGATTCAGCAGCGATGAAACTAACAGAATAACCTTGAGCCAATCATTCGCAGCTTAATCGTTATCTCCATACATTTTTGAGATAGTAAACTGGAAAGAAAGGTCAAGTTGTGACCTACACTAATTGGAAGAAAGACTAGTAAAGAATAATAAAATCATAATAAGTAATTCCCACACTCAGTGGTCCCAAAAGAGTCAAGCAGATAAATACAACTAGAAATAACCCAAGGAGAAAAAACTATGCTTAAGAATACTGAAGTGGGTAGATGAATATATATGCACACTTTCACTGATGTTATGTTTAAATATTAAGGACAACCAATTGTACATGCATTCTGTATAAATTCTATTGTAGAAATTCCAGTGTAAACCCAGATCTCTGGTAACTTCCCCATAGCCTTAAATACAATGAAAAGGGTATTTCAACACACACACATCCCATTTTGTTTTGAAAAGCTCTAGATTTTATTGACATAGGAAACTCAGAAATATGGAGACAAAATGTATCATACAAACTTTGAAAGTCTCAGAGAATAAGACCTTTCAAATGAGCATTTTAAACTTTTGATGGTTCCACCTCACTTCTGCTTCCCAAGATATTCATCATTTTTATTTTAAGCCATAAAGTTTGTAGGCAATCACTTTGTTAATTAGCAGACATCAGCTCTTTGTGGAAGACATTTCGCTAGTGATGGAAGAAACCTGCCCATTTCAATTTGCAATAGGATGAATTTCCCCCAGCTTTTAAAAAGAATTCTTAAGAGATGTTTTCAAGCATTTTCTGGATATTTCACAAAAAGGGAAATATTATGTGGATGTTTTAAAAAACTTCTAGGAACTTTAACAACAGATAGAAGAACCAATAGAAACAATTTTGGATTTTGGAGTATTTGGGATTTCAGAATAAGGGATGATCAAACTGTATTTCAAATTGGTGAGTCATCAGAAAGATGAAAGGGGAAAAGCAGTGTGAGAAGGTTAATTCACTTTAGTCAAGGAGCTGGTTTGTACAACAAGTTACAAGGGGTGTTCTCTAAGGTTCCTTCTGTAGCAAAAATGAGTGCTGGATAAAGTGTAAAATGTCTTCCAGTCCAGAGTATTCCCACTAGTTCTTTTGAAGAGACATAATGCAAAGATTAGCCTACACAGAGAGACAAAGCCAGTGAGAACCAGCAAGGAAAAAAAAAACAGGTATAAAGACCTAAGTCTGAATAATGAACACCATATGGATTTATTTGGCAGCAGACTCCAATGAGGTGCCACTTTAATGTATTAATCTATTTTGAAGGATTATTTCTAGGCATGTCTTCAACATAGTTTCTCTTTTTAATGAGCACTTCAATTATACCATTCACCCAAAGTACAGAAAGTGGCATCATTCCAGTTCTTGTGGGAGGAAGATAGGCCACAGTCTGGTCAAAAGTTTAGGAAAGATATATCATAATTTTGAATTAAGACATCAATGGAGGTATCTGCAGTAATTACTCTTCTATAAAGGAAGGTTTAACAGAACAAGAGTTGCAGATGGTTCCCCCCTCAAAAAACTGAGTGCGTACAGTAAAGTTTATCCAGCATACTTTCTTCAACATAACTAAATCAGGTCTGAAAAAAATATTCACAGTTTGAACGCTGTTAATGTACTTGGTAAGTGTATGCCTACCATCACACACACACACATTACTCACTATTCAAAGTTTGATGCAGCAATCACATAACACTGTATTTTCTTGCAAGGAAATTGTTTTGATTGGATTTACAATTTTACCTTCCATCTATCTGATTGTAACAATAATATAATTTATTTATTTATTTACTGTCCTTGTATACCGCCGTTTCTCAGCCTAACTGGCGACTCAACGCGGTTTACAACAAAATATACAGTACACAGTATACAATTAAAACCATAAAAAACATAATACACAATATTACACGTAAATCACAATCCAATACATCTCCTAACTAAAATCGTGGTCCAATTGCATCATTCATATTACCAATCCGTAGTCGACACATTCATTGCACCGAATTAACCAAATGCCTGCTTGAACATCCAAGTTTTTAGTCTTCTTCATTTTTAGTCTTCTTCGGAATACCATCAATGAGGGGGCTGATCTTACCTCCATGGGAAGGGCGTTCCATAGCCGAGGGGCCACCACAGAAAAGGCCCTGTCTCTCGTCCCCGCCAGCCGCACCTGTGAAGCAGGCGGGATAGAGAGCAGGGCCTCCCCAGAAGATCTTAGGGTCCTGGTGGGCTGATAGGCTGAGATACGTTCGGATAGATAAGTTGGGCCAGAACCGTTTAGGGCTTTAAAGGCCAGCGCCAGCACTTTGAATTGAGCCCGGTAGCATATCGGCAGCCAGTGGAGCTGGTGCAGCAGAGGAGTTGTATGCTCCCTGCGCTCCGCTCCTGTTAGTATCATGGCTGCCGACCGTTGGACTAATTGGAGCTTCCGAGCCGTCTTCAAAGGCAACCCCACGTAGAGAGCGTTGCAGTAGTCTAAACGGGATGTAACCAGAGCGTGGACTACCGTGGCCAAGTCAGACTTCAAGTCAGATTTTATAAGAAATAAAATGCAGTCTTCCAGTTATAATAATACTTCAAACTATATTTCAATTGGTTTATTTTTTATTTGAATTACCTCTGATGCTGATGAGTATTAATTTGTTCAGAAAAAAAATAAGTTAATTTACTTTCAGTGGTAGCCTTTCCTTATAATACAAGTGTAAATTATGTTAAAAATTGGTTAGAGATCAACATATGTTACGCCAGCAGTTCCCTAAATTACACAGATGAATCTTGTCTCCTGCATAGTCCATATTTCAAACAAAATTCTAAACTCCCTTCAGATTGTGTTTACCATCAGGTTATCTTAAATAAATTCTCAAAATAAGTCAACAAACACTAAAAACTCAACAAACCATAAAAAGTGCACCTCCATATATGAAGAGAAAACAAAACATCACTTCATTGTGATGTTATGCATCCATTTATAGATATGCATAACAGCTGTATCTAACTGGCATTACTACCACATCACATCAATTGACCTCTGTTGCCATGATTAGCATACATTTGCTTTCATTATCAGAAGAAGTATTTATTTACATGACCTTTATTCCCTTTCCACACAGTATAGTGTCCAAGGCCACTACATATTAATTGCTGCAGAGAAATATACTTTTTATGGCCTAATTTTGGGCATTCCATAGACATTCACACTAGGCTGGCATAGAACAATTGCTGCTGTAGTGTTATCATGACTCTCCTGTCACTAGCATGCATTACCAAAGTTATTGTGCCAGAAAAACCCATCAATGACTCCCAATATTGCTGCTTTTCTAACTCTGCCTCTGGTGTGATGGGTCCCTTTTGACACTGGCAGTCATATGGCTTTAGTGGACATGATTCTCCTCCTTTCTTCTTCCTTCCCTTTGTTTCTGTGGGAGGGAACATTTTGACTAGGCCAGTGGTTCTCAACCTGGGGTCCTCATATGCTTTCGGCCTTCAACTCCCAGAAATCCTAACAGCTGGTAAACTGGCTGGGATTTCTGGGAGTTATAGGTCAAAAACATCTGGGGACCCCAGGCTGAGAACCACTGGACTAGGCAATGGCATAGATTAAAGAGAACAATTGAGGAAAAGCAGGTGCACCCATGCAGACTTGACATCACTGCCCAGGCTAGCTGTAGGCTCTGTGAAGAAGAGGAGGTGACCGTTTCAGCTTACTTCATTCAATGCTTTCTGAGGTATGATTGCAGTAATTGCGGGGGCTCCCACAGCTAGCACCTCAGACCTAATCTCCTTCCCACTACTAAGAAGCAATGGTGGTGAAGCACTTGCTTCTTTGTTCCTAGCTGTCCAATTGAAGGAGGGCTGCCCACTACCACTTCAGACATGCCTGACAAGCCACTTGCCCTCAAACATTTTCTTTTGAAACATTCCTTTGCCTAAAAAAATAAAGATATTTAAATGGTACCCCTCTCATTAAATAATTTATCTGGCCATTGAAGCCTCTACATTTCTTAAGGAAATGTCTCTTTAGTAATGCCACTCCTGCCCAGTCCACAATTACCTCTGCCAAACACCCCCCCCCCGCATCTACAGCAAAAAAATAAAAAAAAATACTGCCCAATCATTTTGAAATCTATGGTATTTTTCTGGGTTTTTTTTCCTATACTTGTATATTTGTTGTAAAAAAAAATTAAACAGCCATTTCATTATCAGAAGCAGTATTTGCTGGGTGGGACATCATCATCATAGGTGCACCAGCTGCGCCCGTACCTTGGGAAGTCTGACTTGGCCATGGTGGTCCACACTCTGGTTACATCCCGTATAGACTACTGCAATGTACTCTATGTGGGGTTGCCTTTGAAGACTGTTCAGAAGCTTCAAATGGCCCAACGGGCAGCAGCCAGGTTACTAACAGAAGTGGCGCTCAGGGAACATACAACTCCTCTGTTGCGCCAACTCCACTGACTGCCAGTCTGCTACGGAGCACAATTCAAAGTGCTGGCTTGAGCCTATAAAGCCCTAAATCAGGGGTCCTCAAACTAAGACCCGGGGGCCGGATACAGCCCCCCAAGGTCATTTACCCGGTCCTCACTCAGGGTCAACCTAAATCTGAAATGACTTGAAAGCACACAACAACAACAACAACAACAACAACAACAACAACAAATCGCATCAGCCAAAAGCAGGCCCACACTTCCCATTGAAATACTAATAAGTTTAGATTTGTTAAAATTGTTCTTCATTTTAATTATTGTATTGTTTTTATGTGTTTTTTGCACTACAAATAAGATACATGCAGTGTGCACAGGAATTCATTTTTTTTTCAAATTATAATCCGGCCCTCCAACAGTTTGAGGGACGGTCATCTGGCCCTCTGTTCAAAAAGTTTGAGGACCCCTGCCCTAAATGGTTCCGGCCCAACTTACCTGTCCGAACGTATCTCAACTCATGAACCATCTAGGACTTTAAGATCATCTGAGGAGGCCCTGCTCTCAGTCCTGCTTTCTTCACAGATGCATTTGGCAGGAACGAGAGACAGGGCCTTCTCAGTGGTGGCCCCTCGGCTGTGGAATGCCCTTCCTAGGGATATTAGATCGCCTCCCTCCCTCTTAACATTTCACAACAAAGTTAAAACCTGGCATTTTGAGCAAGCATTTACAAATGCAATGTAATAGGCAGAGATAGACCCATGGAACGACTGGATGATGTGATTGAATAATGATTTTAGTAAGGAGATTGTTTTTATTGATTTTAAATGGATTTATATTTTATATGCTAATGTTTTAAATTGTTTTTATGTTGTTGGGGGCATCAAATTGTGCTGAATGTAAACCACCCTGAATCGCCTTCGGGCTAAGAAAGGCGGTATATAAATACGGTAAATAAATAAATAAATAGATGATCCCTTGTGGCCAAGTATGATTGTCTTTCAAGGGTAGAGTCTTGGTGGTAGGTCCATAAGTTATTGCAGGGACCTATTCTGGATCCATATGGTCTTTCACACTGAGGACACAGATTTCCAGATAAAAGGCAGTACTGACAAAAGTTTCCTTGATGCGACTTCCACCTGGCACATTGCTCTCTTTCACCCTCTATTTATGCATCTTTAAAATAGTAAAAACCTGCTCACTGGCTTCTATACCAAGAGGCTGCAGGAGCATGTTTGCACCAACAATGTTTAACATTTACTCAAACAATCAACCACTGTGAGAAGGAACAGAGAGCTTCATCTATGCTGACAATTGTGCCATCACCGCTCAAGCAGGGATTTTTGAAATGGTTGAACAAAATCTCTCCAAAGCTTTAGGTGCTCTTATTGCCTATTACAGGGAAAACCAGCTGATCACCAATCCATCTAAAACACAGGCATGTGTTTTTCATTTTGAGAGCAGACAAGCATCTTGAGCTCTGAGGATTACCTGGGAAGGAATCCCTCTGAAGCACTGTACCACAAAAAATACCTGGAGTCACTCTGGACCATGATCTGACAGAAAAAAATACTGCCCAATAAATTTGAAATCTATTTTATTTTTCTGTTTGATTGAGGTGTGGGAAGGATTAGAAGGCATGCAACAACAAATGATAGGATCATTTGATTCACAATATTTTAAGCAAGCCATACAAAGCATAGTAAGTGTATGGGTTACAGGTAGTGGATGCCAAGAGGAACCTAAACAAGCTGTACGATGAGGAAGAGAAGTTTAAGCCGTATAATATAGTACCTCATTTTATCCTCACAACCACCTTGTGAAGTTCTTTGGTGGAAAGATCTTCTGATCATCATCCAGAGGGCTTCAAGGTCCAAGGCTACTACTTCACTTTCTCACTGTGAATGATTGCTAAAATAATGTGAAATGTATCAGGCACAGGTTCAAACTTTCTTGTTTAAATCAGCCACCTTTAGAACAACTCCATAATATTAGCATCTGTCAAAAGAAAGAGAAGTGTGACAATTCATAGCCATGCTGTGAAGACTTAGTGCAAGAATCCCACCTGCTGATTTCTAGAAATACTTCACAGGGACCACCTATGCGGACATCTAAGACAAACCTTTATGAAGATGGTTTTTTAGATGTAAATATCCTGAGGCACAAGGAAGTCAGATATTGTCAAATCTGACTCCCTGTCTTACTCATGCATTTAAATTAACCTTTATTAGGCTACTGGGTAGAATTTTAGAGTATTTGCTGGTCTGTGGGCAACAATCATACCTGGAAAAGTAAAGCTAAACAAAACACTTATTAATGAGAAGAAACATGGGAGTAGATGTTTTATTAAGAGCTGAACTGAGCCTCTGAATCTGGAATAGACATTAGGGACTTTATTTCATGGAAGAAGCAAACCAGCACTGAAGTAAGTCCCTATTTCATGTGGCCATGTGCATCCTGTTACCAGTTTGCCTCCTCCCTGTGATAAACCCATCCTCACTATTGACAGGGAACCCCATCAATGGCCACAGATCACATCATATTCCCATCCCTTATCTGGTGCAAAGGGCCTGTTCTGCTTCTCTCCCAATATATCTGTACTAAAGTGACATAAAGGAGTGGGATTCCCCTCCTCTCTCACTCTCCCTCCTCCCAGCACCTCGAAGCAGCAATTCCTTGATTTTACAATTTATTTGTTTTGTTTAAAAAATAACTTAATTTGTAATTGCAAAATTGCTTTTTAATACACACACACACATATGAGAAGCAGTAGAAGTGGGGAGGACAGTATCATATGGTTATGCAGAAATACAATTGCAGGAATGTGGAGAGGAGGAATAGACAGAATACTCATACTGTAAGGGGAAACACGCTGGTATTCCCAAATCTTACCAACTGGGTCCTTGGCTGAACCACTTTGGATGACCACTCAGAGCCCAAAGAGTTAGGAGCAAGTACGCCTTAATTTTCTTACTGCAGTAGAGATAGGTGGACAGACAGCACAGAATGCTGAAGTGCTGTAGCCGTCATGCCCCAAACAGCGCATTTGGGGTCCCTTTTATATCCCACTTGTTGACAACTTTCAGGGTTCCCCTTTACCCTTATTTGGCATAGTGTTAAGCAAACATTTCCTTTAACATAAACCTCCCCTGGAATAGCTCACCACACAGTTTCCTTTGCAGTAAACAATTCCGAGAATTGTTTCTGAATGATGCCTTCCACCAGACTTGCCATCCCTCTCGGATCTTCTGTCCAGGAAGGCCAGGATGCCTTCCAGTTCAGAAGATCAGAACTAGTAAAAGGCTCATGCTGATACACAGTCCTAGTCACAAATCGCAGTCTTCCCTGCCCATCAGGTGTTCCGGGGACAAGCTGGGAAACTGCCCTTACAGGAAAAAGCTCAATTTCCTTCTGCGACCTTTCCGCCTCCAAAGCCTCCCACCTCCTATGCCTTTCTGCCTCCTGTGCCTGTTTCCTAGCTCTTGTAAGATACCGGTATTGATCCTGTGGGGACAATGCCTCAAACTCCTCCCTCAAGGGTAGGTTTGGTTCGAGGCTGGAGTCCACCTCGGGCCCCTGCAGAGGTGGGCCCCTGCAAAGGTGGGGCCATAGCAAGGACAGCTTCTCAAGCCGCCCCCGGACTGTGCTGAGGTGGCAACGGGGGATAAAGTGCAGGGGTGGAAGGAGGGGCTGACCGAGGCTCATCAGCTGGACTTCCCGAATCTGGATAGGGGCTGTTTTTCCCTTCCAGCTTATTTTCCTTTGGTTTCCCAAATATCCACTTGATGCCAATCGCAGCGGAACCATTACTCTTACTGGTTGCATTAATAAACATACATCTGCACTCTTTCAACCACCCGAGCTGCTTTGCCAAGACCGATTCCCAAGTGTTGAGATACGGCCACTGGTCTCGGTGGACCTCAGCCGCATATATCTCTGCTTCCAAGGCTAGGTTATGATCATACGACCCTTTGGGGGGGGGAGCACGGGCAGGAGAGAGGGTACCTCGGCCACTCCAATTCACAAAAGTTACATAGCTTATATTCCTTCAAACCTTCGTCTGCAGTAAATGTTTTAAATTGCTTAAAATGATCCAACAAACATTGGAGGGGGGTCCTAGGCCCCTTTGACCCTCCACCACCCATAACTCAGTATGAGACACCCTCACGAGTCTATATCTACTTGATTCAGTACAGAACACCCTCACGAACCAGTCCCACCCTTTGGGGGTTTATGACTTTCCCTCGTCCACACCAAAGGTCCCAAATGGGACCCTGGACTCCCTATACTTAGTCAAGGTATACACTTTTGGACTCCCTGGTACTCCTCTCACAAGTATCGCTCAGAGCCCTAATAATGCATACCAAGAAATTCCACTTGCCTGATTATGATTTCGTCCAGGTTCCCGTGGCGGCTGCCTCTTGAGTGGTGGTTGCTTCAAAACTCCTGTTTTGGGAGAGGGGATGCTCACCCTTCCTCGGGTGCCCCAAGGGGAACCGCTGGTCGTTTTAGGCGCAGCCGCTTTCTCAGTGTGAACTGATCGCTGTGCCCCGGAAGGGCAATGCCCGCCGTCAGCTTTCAAAAGCAGCTCCGAGGGGAATCACAGCGGATTCCCAGCCATCAATTCCCGGTCAGGGAACCAAGTTTATGTAAGGGGAAACACGGCAGCATTCCCAAATCTTACCAACCAGGTCCTCGGCTGAGCCACTTTGGAAGACCACTCGGAGCCCAAAGAGTTAGGAGCTAGTACACCTTTATTTTTTTACTGCAGTAGAAATAGGCGGACAGCACAGAATGTGGAAGTGCTGTAACCAAACCGTCACGCCCCAACCAGCGCGTTTGGGGTCTCTTTATATCCTACTTGTTGACAACTTTCAGGGTTCCCCTTTACCTTTATTTGGCATAGAGTTAAGCAAACATTTCCTTTAACATAAACATCCCCCGGAACAGCTCACCACACAGTTTCCTTTGCAGTAAACAATTCCAAGAATGTGTCCCATATATGGCGATATTGCATACATCTTCCAGTAACTGGCCGACCACTGGCTGACTACAACCATTTCCTATGTAAGCTGTGTAACACTTGCCTCCCTTGTGTGGGAGGCAGGCTGCATTTTTGAATAGAAGTTGATAATATGTCTTTTCTGGCACCCTGTAATGACAGACCAACAAGATGGAGTTACTTTGGTTCACCGTTCCTCTCAATACTGATGTGTTGCCACAATCAAACACTGCACAACTGCCACAGAATTGCAGCTTTGTATGGTAAAGGCCTCGGTAATGACAAACCCTGCTAAAATCACTTCAGTGTTCAAAGTGAAGGACAAGTCTGTGCTATCCTCTCATTACATGAATAGAAGGCAAGTGGACTGGCAACTGCAATTGAGTGACAAGACAATGTTCTTCACTATACTTGAGATACGATGTGATATCAGTAACATGAGAAGAGGACAGGTTGCTTGATCCACATAGTTCTCTTGTTCAATACAGGCACCAGGGGAACAGATGAGGGAGGCTATTGCTACTATCACCCCCAGTATCTTCTGTTTCTGGCAAGTTGGCTGACTTTGCCTCATGGTAAGCAATATGGATGGATGGATGGATGGCATCCTTGAAGTGACTGGACTGACCTTGAGGGAGCTGGGGGTGGTGACGGCCGACAGGGAGCTCTGGCGTGGGCTGGTCCATGAGGTCACGAAGAGTCGGAGACGACTGAACGAATGAACAACAACAAGCAATAGAAGGGTATGCATTTTTCGTATTCTCTTTTAGTTCTTACAATAAACAGCTCAGCTCAGCTTCCTTTTACTATGGCCACATCCCAAGATGCATACTGGAGGCTCCTGGGCCCTCAAATGTTGTGCCTGATTCCCCAGACTATGAACAGAAAGTTGGAAAAAGGCAATCCTTCTTATGTCCCTGATGAAAATAATTAAAGACTCGCAAGTAAACAAAACATTGATAGCATTTTGTTGTCATGTATTGACAATATTAATAACAGCTTTGAGATATTTGTCCTTCAAGAGAAAATGCTAATTGGCTGAATTGCTTTCTTTTGATGCTTAAATTGTAAAGTTAGTATGGATGTGTGTGTGTGAGTGGGGGGGGGGGGTGCCTCTGGTAGTTATCTTTCATTTTGTTTCTAAGACATCTGTTGCATTGTCCATGGACTGGTTCTTGTTTTCTAGTTTTTCTTATTTGCTTATACATAATTTTTTTAATTACTATTTAAAATAAAATTTTAAAATAGAAGAAAGATGTGGAGAGAGGGCCAATTGCACCAATGAGATTTCTTGAGTCAGCATTTTGATTTAATACTCTTATTTTCTTCTTCCAATTTGCAGATTCTAAGAGCAAAACTAGCTATTTATGCACAGAAAAAAATACAATAATTTAGTAAACATTTGCCATGGGGTAAAGATAAAGTGACTGAGTAGATTAAGCTGCCTCCTTCCACCATTTAGATGAAAACACATAGACTTGGCTGTTTCATGATTCCACCTTTTGGGAGTAAAGAATCAGCCAACACCATATACCCAGTAGTCTGTTTAGAGTAGGATTAGGCAGATTTATGCAAGATGCTTTGGACCACATCTTGCATAAATCACTGCTAGGATTGCAAATATCAATCTAAGAGTTGCAGCATAAAAATCTCTGCAAAACTGTCCTAATCTGGCAGGAGAGTCCTGATTAATCCTCTACCATCACATGCTATCAGCTACTATAAAAATGTTCCAGTTTCTCCCTCCACCTCCCAATTTCTCCTTTTGTCCTTATCTTACTCTAATGCTGCAAACTATGTTCAACATGCTGCTCCCCCCCCCAAAAAAAACAAGCAAGCACATAAACAAAATAGCCTATGTAACGAAAATAAGGGTCTTATTGCACGTGACGGGGGGAACCTTTCTTTTCAATCCCACCTGTCAGACCCAAAGCGCTTCAACACGAGTGTAGTTGTTATAACGTGAGTGTGTAATGGTAGGTTTGCTGCCACCACTCCAAATTACAGTTTGAGGAATTGTCTTGTTGTTATACTTGAGGTAAAATGTCCCTATACATCGGTTCTTCCTTTTGGCTCCCTTTCTGGTGACTGAACTATAGAGATGTGGAGGCTTACTGGATCTAATCTTATATGATGAAACAAGGCTGAGGCAGATTAACAGTAAACTAGAGAACAGGTTTATTGAAGTATTTGAAGCAAACAACTGACTACTGAGAGGTACATACGTGTAATTTGTTTCTGAAGCAAAGACTTATTACGCAAATGGTT